TTCAGGAAGAGCGGATTTTGGAAGTTTGTTTTGGAACCATATGAGGAACTGGATTATTGGTTTCTCTAACTCATGTGGAAATTCATCTAGTATCAACGTTGAATTGCTTGCTTTCTTTCATGCTTTTGACAAAGCTTGAAAAAAATGTTATCAAGTTATTTTGTGTGATATGAATTCTACCATGATCTTTGAGTTAGTTCTTAATAGTACGGATCACTTTCATCCTTACTTTCTTTTGGTCCTTATAATTAGGAAATTGATGCAATTACCTTGGAGCATAACCTTGCAACACACACCTTGTAAAGCTAATCCATGTGCCAATTAACTTGTAATATATGGTATTAGTCATGATATTTCTTTCGAGCATTGGAATCACCGTTTATCTGAGCTAACATTTTTGTTTCTTGCTTGTATTTTGTAATTCTAACTCATAAAAAAATATTAAACATATTAAGTTCCATGTTGGAGTTCCAACTTCCACGTGACAGATATTGTTGAAATGTAACTATATGCATCAACGGTTTTTTCTTCTTCTTTAAACCTGTAGGTATAACTCTTTTTATTTGGTTGGACTAATTAGAAATAAAGTGGTACACATCTAATCCTTAATCCTTCGTTAAGGAAGAAACTAACGACTTCGGTACACAGTTTTCTAATCAACAGTTTAGATTTATTTAGTTATATTTTTTTATAGAACAGTACAATTTTCAGGATTGAGATTATGTACGGCCTTCTGAAAATTGTAGCTGAACTTTATAATATATATATATATTTGCCTTGTCTAGGAAGGACAGAGGTTAATTAATCTTCTTTTTGGTTGATTCAGTGACAGATTTTCTCAAAGGTGCACATGTATCTCAGTAACTGAATCATTCATCTCAGTTGATAAAAGAGAAACTTCACTGAATCAAGGTAAGGTAATCAATATCGATCCTTTTCCTTAGTTTCATCAATAGAGTACCAGAAAGCTTTTAGCCTTTTCCTTAACAAACTGAGTTTTTACTTTTTAGCTAAAATAAGAAAGAGGAAATATCTGTATGGAAGAAAATATGGATAGTGATCATCTTTACCAAGTGAGTGATTGGCAAACTGAATGATTTTGCAGATAGAGGGTTTCCAGAATTCATTTATACTTGAAATTTCCCAATTACTCTTTCTAATTGTGCTGCATGAGTGTATTTTATTTGTTAAAGGGTGGTTTTAATTTGGATCCCATAGGTGCCTTCTGTAGGTTTGAATTCCGCTGCTCATAGAGGGATTATTACCCTTGGGCTCAGAAAGGAGGATTATCTGTAAAAGTACATGCGATTGATTAAAATATAAAGTATCATTAGTTCATGATTGTCTATTTTTTAGGTTTTTTGTCTATTTGAAAATTGAGAAGGTATTCAATTGATTGTTAACCTATTGATCTCTCAGATGTACAAACGTTCTAATGAAGAACAGGATGTAAGTAATGAGAAGGTAAAACTTCACATCATATCCCCCACCCCCTTTTTCTTTTTAAAACACCTTTGGGGGTTTTTATCATTTATAGTAGTTTCTATGGCAGGTTAGAAACTGTGATACAGCAGAAAGCAGTTTTCAGAGGTATAAATATATTATTCAACATCTATTTCTTAATCTTTTTGGGGGTCAAGGAGGAATGATTTTTCCAAGTTTCCTAGAATTTCCTGCAGTGTGCACAGATTGTAGGCGTTATTAGAATATAATATTAATTTGTTCTGTACAAATGGGATGCAGCTTGAGAATCAATGATTTGGACCCATCTGGGATTTCATCATTCCAATTGGGAAATTTGAGTACTAGTTGTTGCTCACTGGTTTGTAAACCAGCTGTTACCACAGACAACAGATACTTGTTACTTCACAAAGTAACTCAGTCCTGGCCTTCCCCTGCCTTGTGTTTTGTGGAGACAGCGCCTCAAGATTCACAAAGTTCTCATATTACAGCTTTTAATTCAGGCGACGGATCCTCGCAGTCAGATAATGAGTCAACTTCGTCTAAGACCATAAGGGATGTTCATATTGTAAGAATCACTACTGCATGTCTGAACCTTACACTGAACATCAAAATTGTCTATTTTCAAATTTGTGGCACGGCTGGACTCTTCTTTTATATGATTAACATCGTAGAGCCCATGACTATTGCAGATTATTTAAGTTTAATAAATACTCATTTCATGTTTTACAGTCAATGCGGTTAATGGAAGACTTTCTTGATCTTGCTAAAGAAAATACAGAAAAGGATCTGGAAACTTGTGGTATACTTGGTGCTTATCTTGTAAGAATCACTATAAAATTGTAACTTACTACCTTTAGCTGTCTTGTCAAATTTGCCTAGGCGGTGTTTTATGGAAAATAAAAAGAAAATGAAGAGCCAGATTTGATCTAATGCATTATCAAATTTGAAACTGATATATGATTACATCCTTCAATTATCCAGGAGAAGGGAACCCTCTATATGACTACTTTAATCATACCAAAGCAGGAATCAGCTTCCAATTCTGTTAGTATCCGGATTGTAGTCTTACATTCTTCTAACCTATGGTTTTACAATATTTTAGTGCATATTTTCAAGAGGCCATGATTTATTAATAATTGTTGCTAACTTGCTGCACTGAATCAGTGTCAAGCTACAAATGAGGAGGAAGTATTCAAAATTCTAAATGAAAGATCCCTTTATCCTGTGGGATGGATCCATGTATGTCTTCCTAACTCCTTTGCAATGGTAATTAAAAGTAGGGCCTGTAGGGGGGTTAGCTGGTTGGGTTGGGTTCACGGAACTTTATAAATCAAATATGACATGGTTGGTATCAATCCAAACAAACCTAACATAGCAATGGTTGGGCTGAAAACATTATCAGATTGGGGATGAAACCCAAAAATATACCTCACTAGATTATGATATTTATCTAAGGAGATATTTTATAAGGGTTATTTCATAAACAATTTTATAATGATGAGATATTATCTGCTTTGGATCTAAGTTCTCACAGTTTTGTTTTTAGTCATCACCCAAAAAATCTTTCAATCATTAGAATATGTGTGTACTTTATAAATTATTATTTCTTCTCTTATTTTATCGATGTAGGACTTGTTTGTATCCCAACATTAACTTAGATATCACTAGAGCCCAAATTATTTTCAAATCATAAATCGTTGCAGAAGACAATATCCTCCTGGTTTGACTTCTCTAACCCTTCTCCCCTTCACATTTTCAGACACATCCGTCTCAAAGTTGTTTCATGTCATCGGTGGATCTGCACACTCAATATTCCTACCAGGTGATTGATCCAAGTATTTTTGTTATTACACATTTTTCTTGTAATGGCATTTCTCTATTCAACTCTTCAACTATTGTCAACTTGTGTTGGCATTTAAAGTATTATCTCCTTTAAGTATACATGTCGAATGACATTTTAGCGGATGAATTTCATCAAAATTTTCATTTGCACCATGGTTTCATTGATTGGTATATATCATCTAAGAGAATTTATAAAATAATTTTGTGGCACAACCTTTACGAATTTGGTGGCAACCAGTGATTAGGACTATTGTGGTTAGGGATAAGAAATTAAGTAGACCACTGTATATGGTATTATATGCATATTTAATTCTTTCTGTTAAAGTTGAAAATAAATTCAAATGGATTGCAGGTGATAGTTATATTCAACTTATAAAATTGGACTCACAGTTTGGTGTTATTTTATCAGATGATGATTCCCGAGGCATTTGCCATTGTTTTGGCACCGAAGGATACCTTAAGGTCTACCTACTCTCTTGTTCTATTTCATCGACGAATTCTCATCAATTCTTGTACTTATCTTTGCGCTAACATGTTAATTGTTGCCTTTCACGTAAAATTTGGATATCTACTCTGTTCTACTTGACATTTTTGTCTTCTTTTTTTGTTCCTTTTCTTTTTTTATAAGTAATTCCTTAAACTTATAATTATATCCAAATTTCATATTTGAGATAACGAAGGGGCTAACTGAATGCAATATATTTTGAACAAAACCAGCTTATATGTTCCTCTGAATCAGATTTGTACTATAAACCTACTGTAGATCTATAATGCTAATTGCTAAAGTACTTGTACTAGCTTCTCTAGAATAACAATAACAAAAGAGTTGCAGTCCACAAATGCTAAAAAATCACTAGTTGCTATTAGGAATGTAAAGAATATATGGGGTGTGAGTAGTGTCTGTGTTGAGAATTCTTCTAACATGTGCTGATAAAAAGGTATCTGGGAACTCAAATTTAGTGATATGTCCAGGAGCTGTGGACTATTTCGCCTAACTGACCCTGAAGGAATGGATATTCTGAAAAATTGTCAGGAGACAGGATTTCATCCACACAAAGAACCAGACAGTGGCAACCCTGTGTATGAGCACTGCTCCAATGTGTACAAAAACTCCAATCTAAGGTTTGAAATCTTTGATTTACGGTAAAAATGACTTTGATGACATCACAGTACACTGTATCATATGACAGATACAAGTATAATTACAAAAGGCATGTCCTAGTCATACACCTGAAAGAAAAATGCTGATATGCAACAGTTGTAATGTTTGGTTTAATGTAATAAGGTAGGTTTAGTACTTTTCCCTTTTGGACGAATAAACTAACTGCATCATTGAATTTTAACTCAGAAAAATTTATTTCATTTTTTCCTTTTTTTTTTTTATATATGAAAAAATTTGTCTAAACAAACCCTTATGTTGTTTCATGTCATAATGTTTTTTATTTTCCTTACGATTAGATATCTAAACATAGCAATTTTTCCACTCATTTTCAAATTGATATAAGCTACAACCTATGTAGCATGGATATGTGGGGGTGGCTAAAAAAAACTAGCTTATATAAAAATTAGGGGCAAGATAGCAAAATAAGGAATAGTTTATTACAAGAAAAATGACACCTTATAGTGAAAACAAAAATGATGGTATATGCATCAGGATCCAAACAAAGCTTAGTAAGTCAAGATACTGGTAATGGACATCGAAAGCCTTGACTCTCTTCATTGTTGGATCATATTTTGAAGCATTTCTCTGTTTACATATTTATTGTTCTCAATTCCCATAATAAATTTTGCTTCCTCCAAGGTTACTCCCCCTCCGCCCCCCCCCAAAAAAAAAGGCTACTATAATCTGAAAAACAATAAATGAGAGACTCCACGTGCAGCTTTAATTCCATGCAACTTGTTAGTTGATTTGTTCTTCTGTAAGTCCTCAAAAAGTTTCAACACAAATGAAAAGATAAGGCGATAAAGTTTCTCTCTGCTTAAGGTCACTTGTTATGGCGAAAACCAGTTTTTAGGTTGATCATTCATCATAATATCATCAATAACGGTACACATGCACTTGAAAATTATTGTAATTGGGTGCATTTGATGAATTGCCTCCCTAGAAATTTTTTTGCTAGAGTGCTCCATCGTGTCAGAATATTTTCTTCCTCTAACTTTACTACTACATATTTCAATATCAATCGAAAATATCACCGAATGTGTTAATCAGCTTATACGATGGTAAATACCAAAAATGAGTTTCTTAAATTGAGAACATTATAGATCCTCTAAGAGTATGAACTGAAAAGGGATCAAATAATCTGTGACGCGTTAACAAGTGATGGTTTGTGGACATAATTGGGTGGTTTTGGGAAGGGTCCCATGTACAAACTTTGGACGTAAATAAATGCTAAATAACATGTTATATTATTTCTCATTGATTGCTTCAGAAAGAAGCATATGAATATTTTCACCAAAAAGAAAAAAAAGAAAAAAAAAAGCACATGAAGGAGGGAAGGCATAATAAGAATCAATGATGATGTGATGTCACATACGCGTATTGCATTTCACTGCTCTTCTTGCAACTTCCACGGCCCTAAATTATTTATCATCATTTTTTTTTTATTGCAAAAACAATTATTTTCTTTGTTTACTATATCCTCTGCACTTGTGAAAAAGCATATATGTTTATTTATTAACCGTCATAATATTATTTATCATTTTAATTATATATTATTTTTTAATTATTAAATATTTTACATATTTGTGATAATAAATGAGAGAAAATAATAGTAGAGGTCATTTTAAGAAATTCTAAATAATTTTTATTATAAATAATAACATTAATTATATTTCTTAATTTATGTATTGCTTTTTTAAGTAGACGGGTAAAAATAAATTAAAGAAGTACTGATATGATTAATTTTAATTCTTTTCTTTTCTTAAAAGTTATCGCATATTATTGTCTAGACATTTTCGGTAAAATATTATAGGCGGGGTTATTTTATTACATTTTTGTGTGTTTATTTTAATATATTTAGTTAATGTAAATAGTAAGTTATGATAGACTAATGTTTATACAGTAGTATGAACTTAATATTATAAATCTAAACATAATTATTATGATGTGAACTTTAATTATTGCTAACTTAAAAACCTTTAAATTGGTATACCAACATAAAATAGAATGTTACGCAAGTACCAGGGGATGTAATATGTAATAATCGTTTAGCTTTATTATTCTCATTATAATTTTTATGGTACTTCTTTCATCCTAAATATTTAGCCTTTTAATGTGAATATACATTAATTAAAAATATTTAATAAATATAAATTTAATATTTTATTATCTCAATTTTATTATTTTATTTTGAAAAAATAAATAAATTGTTCATGGAGGAAAATGTTATTAAATTAAAATATAATTGAAAAAATGGAATAAAGTACTATTTATAAATTATTTACATTTAATTTAAAATATTTTATGAAATATACATATTATAAGAAGAGTTGTGAAATAAGATATGAAGTAATGAGTATACGTGAAAAAATAATGAAATTTAAAATTTATAAAAATTATTAAGTTGGAAAAAAAATATCAATAATTTTATATTCGTGAAGTATTTCTTTATCAAGGAACTTGTGAGTAAGTCATGTATTATTATAGTATAAATAAGTGAAGTTGTTTGGTAGAGAAGAAATAGAGTGAAGAGAAATGAAAAAGTGAAAGGTCTTACCTTCTTATTTTTCACATATTTTTCTTCAATCAAACGACCAAATTTATATTCTATTTCTTACTTGTTTCTCTTCACTTTTTTTTTCTATTTTTTTTTTATTTTTTTCCTCTACCAAAAACAAGGTAATAGAGAGAGTAATGCTTGTGCTAATTTTCTAACAAAGTTAAATTCTAGGCTAAAAATCTATTTTGGTCCCTTATAATAATTGTTTATTTCAATTTAGTCCCACTTTTATTTTTTGTTTCAATTTGGTCCCAAATAAATTAATTGGTTTCAATTTGGTCTCTAATAAATTAATTGGTTTCAATTTGGGACTTCCGTCCAAATTATTTAAACGGAGTTAACTGCTGGCCACGTGGATACCACATAGATGCATAGGTAGATGTCATGTGGATGCCAATTTTTTTGAAAATACCTGGAACTAGAACGGCCCGTTCTGGTTTCAAAACTGGCCCATTCTGGTTCCAGATTGCTAAACATAAACGATCAATGATTATAGTTTACGGTTGTGAATCATGAAAGGAAAAAGACCCAAGGTACAAAGCATTTCAAACACTGAATTTGGTAATATTATCAATGGAAATTGATAACTTCAATTGCTAAACAGTTAGGCTATACAGTGTATTATTAAGGACAATGCAATGTATCACTAAAGACAATGGTAGCAGATTTTATTTCATTTCAAACTGGAGTGAACCACTTACTACCAAATTGACACTATACAGTAAAGGATGAAATGACATGGTATTTTTCCTTGAAGTCATTAACGATGTACCCCAACAACAACAACCTGTTCTTGAAGAGGTAGAACCTGAAGTAAAGGAAGAGGATACACATGACTAACATTTCACCACACAACCATATGCAGGGACAGATCTAAGTTAATCATAGTGGGGGCACTTGCCCCCACTAAAATTTTTTTCATTCTTTTTTATATATAAAATATTAATAATTTTATAAAATATATATTATTAATTATATTTTAATTATGTTGTTATATCTAATATAATAAATATATTAATATTTTTTTATATTTTATTTTATTGTTTAATTGTTTTTTATTTTGTGGTAAAATTATCTTCATTTTTAATGAAGAAAAAATTTACTTACTTCAAGAGTAAGTCTTGATAGATTTATTCTATTTAATAATTAATGTTCTATATCAAATTTTTAAGAATTTAATTGTTAAATTAAAAAGTTTTTCATGTATAGATCAAATTTATAAAAAATTTTAAAAAATTATAAATCATATGATACTTCGTTAAATTAATTCAAATTAACATAAAATATTTTTGTTTTAAATGAATGTAAAAATTTAGAGGACACTAAAAGAAAATAAATTAATAATTTTATTATGTTTATCCTATTAATTTTTATCATTTTATTCCTCTAATTTTAAATAAGTTACAAAAAATTATAAAATGACACTTAAATATTTTTTCAGACAGAAAGAGAAAAAAAAGTTATTACTCTATTTATAAGACAATTGTATTTTATAAAAATAAGTAATTTAAAAATTTGTACCATAAAAAAATATTTTTCAAAATTATTATATTTTTTTATAAAATTAATAAAAAATATTCTATTCTCAGTTTTGGAACGGGCCGTTCTGAATCCAGAACGGTCCGTTCTGAAATTAGAACGAGTCGTTCTGGTTTTAGAATGGACTGTTCTGCTGTACTCTTGATGTGTTAATTTTGTAGTTAGAACGGCTCATTTCAGATGCAAAATACCAAGAGTGCATCCAGAATGGCCCGTTCTGGTTCCAGGTATTTTCAAAAAAATTGGCATCCACGTGGCATCTACCTATGCATCTACGTGGCATCCACGTGGTCAACAGTTAACTCCGTTTAAATAATTTGGACGAAAGTCCCAAATTGAAACTAATTAATTTATTAGAAACCAAATTGAAACCAATTAATTTATTTGGAACCAAATTAAAACCAAAAATAAAAATAAAATTAAATTAAAATAAATAATTATTATAAAGGACCAAAATAAGTTTTTAAGCCAAAATTGCATTACTGAAGCTGAAGTCACCACCAGCTGAGTAGCACTTTCATCATGGAGGAATTTTGGATTGCGGATGGATTGATTTAAATAACGTAAATTTGGAAAGGTAAAACAAACATACAGGAAGTCTCAACCACAGAAAACATTGTTAAGATCTAATGCTTCCCGGCCCAACTTTCATTGCAGCTTTTGTCTGCATTTATGCCGCATGCAGAAGCCGGATCCACCGACGTTTTTGACCAAAAATTCTCAAATAAATGTGCGTGGCTCCACAAATTTAAACAATTAATTACCATCAAAACATTCAAATATTTTTATACAACATTCTTCTCTGCCTAATTATCTCCATGTACAAAAATTATACGAAAGCAAGTGATAATTAATTCTCTAATTAAGTCGGTGAATTACAAACGTTTATTTATTTACATACGAATAAATAATTTTTTTGAATCAAATCGAATTTGATGAACAAAAAAGGTCTCAATAAGGATGAACGTTCCTGCTCAATCCGTTGGAGTTGGCGAAGAATCCGAACAGATCTTGCCGATACGGCAAATACGACTTGCGTTTATCGCTCTCTTTCCTCGCTCTGTTCATAACGTAATGCTTCTCGTGCGCCGACGACAACGCCGTTTTCCCCTTCCGCATCTCAACCTTCTTCACCACCACGTTTCGCGCCTTCTCCGCCTTCGCCCCCGGCGCGTTGCTCAGGAAAACGAACGCGTCCTTTCCGTCGCTGCTGCTCCGCAGCTTCACGTCACGGAACCTCCACAGCTTCGAGAATCCCGTGGAGTTGCTCTTCACCGCCGATTTCGGAGTCCACTCGCAGTACGGTCCCTCCGCCGCTGGCTCCGTCGCCGACGGCGACGGAGCATCGTCCTGATGCTCGACGAAGACCTGGATCGGCGCGCCGCCGTCGTACTCGTCGGAGAACAGAAGATCCTGGTTGAAAATCGGAAAAATCGGACGAATCTGGCCGTTGTCGAAGGCGTCGTCGGCGGAGATCAGCGAGCCGTCGGGATTCGCGAGCACGAAGCTAAACTCTTCTTCTTCTTCCGATTCCTCTTCTTCATTCTCTTCCGCTTCTACATCATCTTCGTTACGCTTCTCTTTGTTTTCGCGTTCTTCGATTTTGAGCTTGGCCATGAAATCGTGTTCGAACTTTCCAGAAGACTCAGCGAACTCGTCGGAAGAATCCCTAAAGTTAGACGACAAAGGTAAAACCGAAACGGCTTGCATTTTAGCGAGCTTGCGTTTTGAGGGTTTTTTGGCGGTGACGAAGTTAAAACGACGGTTATTAAGAAAGTAGTTAGAAATGCAAATGTTGAAGGTAGTGATATAAATGGCTCGACATTTATATATATATACATGTGAGCCGAGGAGGCTTTTCGCGTTATCTTTTATTTTTAATTTTTTATTTGATCCTTTGAATTTCTAGTAATTTCACTATTTGCCTTTTTCTGTTTTTTTGTTTTTTTAATTAAGCGCTTTCACACGTTGCACGTGTTTGTTGGTTCGTTCAAAATGAGTATGCACATAGTACACGTATAGCGTTGAAGTCTAAATTTGAAAGCTTCGTTTAAAATATAGGCTTCTTCGAATGCTGTAGATTGAATTAATATTTAAATTCAAATTTGTATGTGCATGACTATTCAATTATTCATGGTGCAGATGTCACGGGTTATGTAATAAATAATAAATGAAACTGCCGGTGGCTGATCTCAGTGGTGACTTAGTTCACTAGGTGTTGTTGCGTAATTGCTTTGTTGGTTTTCTTGGTGGTGAAGGTTGTGAACTGCTTTGTTTAATGAGAACACGTTCGAGTTGGATTCATGAGAGGGAAATAGCTAAGGAAAGTGCAGGATGGAGAAATATTATTTTATTTGTATCATATAGAAGATATAGAAGAATATGACACTTGGATTATGGTATAATCTGAAACATCGTCCAAAGATTTACTATGCGTGTTAATTAAAAAAATATCTACAACTATGTGAGGACTGTGCACTTACAAAGATTACGTACGTTGGAGGATATATCAAGGTTTTTGTCTTGAGTTGAAGAAAATATAATATGAAATTATGAATAGACTCGGTCAATTCTTCATATGAGTTTTTGGAAGTCAATCACAAGGTGACGCGTTGATTAATCGAGTTCTTGGGGTGGAAGCAAAAGGAAAATGGTACGTAGTTACGCGTGTTATAACACATGTTGAGATATATATGCGATTAAAAGTAAATATTAAAACAAAAAAATCTTGACAAGATCGACTCCAAATTGGTTATAATTAGGAGTGAAAAAAAAAACTAAACTAGTGGTAAACTGAATTAAACTATATTAAAAAAAATTTGAACAGAATTGAATTATTTGAAAATTAAATTGAACTAAACTATAAAAAATTGAACTATTTTATAAAAGTGTAAAAATAAAAAGTGTTTAACTTGTTCTTTCTTAATAGATTAGCTTGATACATCAACAATCTAGACTTCAAAAAAAAAATCTGAAAAAGAATGTATCAATTTTGTCATACTCGATCGGTCAATCAAGCTATGTTGGTTGACTAATTTTTAGTCTTAAAATCCATTGAGTTTGTTTGATTCAATTTTTTTAAATATTTTTTATTATGTAAAATTTAAATAAAATAAAAATAAATAAATTTTGTAAATGTGTTCTATCTCGATGGATCAATGAGTCAAAATTATTTAACTTAAAGTATTGTAATACTTTAGTATAGTTTGAATTACAGTTTAGTTCAAATTTTTATAATGCAATTCAATTCAATTCAATGAAATAAAAATTTTTTTGTCCAGTACAGTAGTTTGCCTTAACTAATATGCAGTTCGGTTCAATTCACATGTTCACATGAACTACTTTTAAGTTCACTTCATTTTATCCATCTCTAATTACAATAATTGGACACATAAGCATTGGTTACTTATATAAGTATGGATGTGTTGGTGGGGTGCAACAATCATATTTTGATTTATACACATATAATAAAAGGAATTGTCCCATTTTGATATACATATTTTTTAGATAATTTTATTCTTAAATTTTTAAATAATATTAAAATTTAATCATTCTTCCATAAATAAGATTCAAACTCATGACCTTTAAGTTCAAAAATCAAATGCAATATCAATGAATCTATCAAACATTAGTAATTTTTAAATAATTTTATTGAATAAAGTATAGAGGCATAAAGTGTTTTGATCCCACTAATAAAAAATAATACTTATATCATAAAAGGAGTTAAAAAAAATTATTTGTGAATAAAAAGATGTTGAGGTAAAACTTATAATCGATCCACCTTTATAAAGGAAAAATCCCTTCGACTCCTCATTTATCTTTCTATATAATTAAAATTTAATTAAAATATACTCACATTTATCTAATTATAGATTACCATATAATTGACCATTATCAACTTTTATAATAATGTTGGTCTTTTATAAGACGTGTAAATGTTATTTGGTTGATCCGTAATTATATTAATTAAGTCAATTAATTCACTATATATAATGATATGCACAAAATGTAGAAAAAATAAAGATATTAGAAAGAGAGAGTTGAATAAAGTTAATAAAAATATTCTACACTTTTTGAAATAGAGAAGTAGTAATGTAACTGTAAGAGTGTAGACGATGAAAAAAGAACAAAGAACACAAAGTGTTTTAATTTATATCTATTCATCTCAATCAATAAAACTACGTATAATTCTCGATCAATCTGATCTCGTTTCATTATCTTTTACAAAGATACAAATATTCTTTCATGGGTTACTTTTGATTTAACTTAATATTTTTTTACTTGCCTCCTTAAATAACTATCCAAGTATTTTTTAAACAATCAGTCTCTTCAAGTTTCTACAACCAAGTATTATTTACATTAAAGTCTCTTCAAGCTTCGAGTAATAACACAAAATCAAAGTTAAAAAATCACTTGTTGTTTTATCTTACTTTTAAGATGTGATACAACAAAATTAAGTACAAAGTTTTTACATAAAGAATGAATAGATTCTTTTTAAACTGTATGTTGTTCTTTCTTTCTTTTTGAATCTTCAAACTTCTTTTTATAAGTGTTATGAAGATGACCATTGCAAATCTTTGAATTTTTTTTTTAAGAAGATTACTTCTTCTATCTTTATATTTCTTCCCTATAAAAAGAAGTGTCAATTGATGCATTAATTAGAAGTATTAAATGCATTTCGTTTCTTATTTGATGAATGAGGTTACTTATCACATTTAAGGTATAAACGGAAGAAATTGTTGCATGTGTAAGTTAGAAATGACTTTATACTTCATACATTTTGAGAGATTTGTTTGTCCTTTCTCTAACAAAAAATATGTCTCCGTTCCTTTTTGAAATACGAGTATCAAAAAAACTTTTATTCATTTGATTTGTTAAAGATTAATATGGATAAGGATATTTTGGTTATCATATATCATAAATGATAAATTAAATGCATTCCTCTCACACAAATGAAGTGATTCATCTGAGAGACTACACATCATCAAAACAATTGTCTATTTGAATTTGTCTTATTATGTGATTTGAGAATCATTTTTGTTACAAAATCATCTAAGTTTGTTATCATTAAAACTAATGTTATGCGAAACTCAAGATCATTTTTTGATCTAATAACAAATTTTTCATTTGATGATTTTGTAATCTCATTGAGATGAAACTAAAAAAATATATACATATTAATGCTACTAATAAAACTAAGAGCTAAGAAAATTTAATAATCAAAGCATTTGGATTGGATTTCGTCTAATCTCATTCTTATGCAAACTAAATAATCACACACATGCAAGTGGACGCGCCCACACACAATTCATAAATTTTTTGAGGAATGCTAATATTTTTAAGTAAGACGGTCTCTATAATTATAATTAAGAAATAAATACTTAATTCATCAATATCAATGAAAATATTTAAATTAATTAGTTATAATTAATAATGCCATAATTGAAAATTTTAATTTAAAAATATTTATAGAATTAAATTGTGAGTGATAGTTATATTTAATGATATTACTTAAAAGTCAAAGAATAAATTTTTTTAATGTATAGTATTAGTTGTTCAATAAATGCCTTCACTTTCATGACAAATGAATAGATGATTCATTATTAGGCTCATAAAAAATTAAGGATAAAAAAATCAATTAAAATATTTAAAAGTATATCTATATTTTTTTTATAATTAGAATAAAAAAACTGTTATTTATTTTTTATATATAGTAACATTAAAAAAAAATCATGTTAATAATAATATATTAAAGTTACACTCATATAGTTAAATGACTCAACGAGTGTGGCTGAATTGATAATACATACTAAGCTTGTGAAGGAGAACTTGAGTTTCATCTTTTAAAAAGAGCAAAGAAATTTAACAGTAACTAAACTCTAGACTAAGGATTAGTTCCATATTTGTCCCAAAGGACCAAGGCTTCTGGGAATAACTCAAAATCTCATTAACAAGCCAAAAATCCTAAATATGCTTGTAACAAAAAGACAAACTCATATATTTAAATAAAATATGTATTTAATAAAAGTATAAAATTAATTTCAAGTACATAATTATACACAAATAATTAGATTGATTATATTTAAATTAATTTTTAACCATTTATGTATATGTGTCTTATGTAATCATATGAATGATAATTGTTTTCAAAATTTCTCGCTCTCACGTACATATATATTGTGTCTGTGAATATATAATATATAAAAACAATGTTTTTAAAGGTGAATATTACCATCATGGACTATATAACTCAGTGAAGTATTATGTGTGAATTGTTGTAAATATCTTGATATTAGGTTCAGTTCATATAGATAAAAGAAAAAAAAATGTGACCAAATTAAGTTATCTAGCAAAGATTATTCATAAACAATAATGAGCAAAGTTTATGTAAATCAATTTCGTTAAATAATGTGAATGTCATTTTCTAATAAATTTTTATTTATTCACCGAGACTTGTTTAAATTTCAAATAATAATAAAAATGGCTGCATTAAAAAATTCTACTAATGCTTAATATTATTTATAAGAAAAATGTTAGTAATACATTTTATAACATATTTTTGTCAAATACTATTAATTAAAATTTATTGAAAATTATAAAATTTTGTGAGTCGTATATCATATTTAATAAACATCTTGTGTGATTTTATAATTTTGGACAAGTTTTAACTAATAAAATAGTGTGTTAATAAGACTTAATATAAGTGTGTTAAAAGAGTATTATTACTCATTTTTATTTATTAATTTCACAAATAGTGAAGTGATGTACAGAAAATAAACAAATAAATAAGCTTTGCTTGTGCATGTGGTATTTT